TGAGACTGAGTCACATTATGTCGCCCTCTGTAGAGGCTGTGGTGTCACAGCTCACAGCAACCTCCAGTTCTTGGGCTTAGGTGATTCTCTTGTCTCAGCCTCCCAAGTAGCTGGGACTACAGGCACCCACCACAACACCCAGTTATTTTTTTGCACGTGTCATTGTTGTTTAGCAGGCCCGGGCCAGGTTCCAACCCACCAGCTCTGCTGTATGTGGCCAGCACCCTTTGTCTTTGCATGGTAACTTGTTTCAGCATTTGTCTTCCTCTTGGCAAATGACTCACCAGAGAAACTAGAAATATTTGACACCTTCTGGGGAAGAGTGTATGATACCCAAATGAAGTTGGTGTCAGTGTAGAGCCTGTTAAGGACACTTGCTTATTCAGGTGACACATTCGTTTATGTCTTGCCATCCCTCATTGGAGGTAAGATCCGGGGGCATAGACAAGTCTATCTTGTTGGCTCCTCTCTCCCAAGTCCTACTGGGCAATGTCTGTGAGCTCCTTGAGGGGAGGAGCCAGGCTGTGTTTTGTTCATTTTTATATTCCTACTACCGAGCCCAGTGTCACAGAGTAGGTGACCAATAAATATTGGATTATAATAATTTATGAAGGTTTGGGTCTAGATAAGTGTTTCTCAAGTTTTTCCATCCAAATATTGACAGAAAAAAAATGATGATCCAAAGGTGCAAAATTTGGGAGTCCCCAAAGCCATCCTCACTTTTGACATCAACTGCAAGTTCAGGGGGCCCTTGGACGATCCTCAGGTTTGATGACTTGCTAAGGGACTCACGCAAGTCACTGAGAGATGTATATTCATGATTATAGTTTATTATAGCAAAAGGATATAGAAAAGAAAGAAAGAAAGAAAGAAAAATAGCCAAAGGAATAGGCATATGGGACAGAGTTCAGGAGACTTCCACATTCAGAGTTTCCACACCCAAGGGAGGTGTGGATAGTACTAACTTCTCCCAAGAAAGATATGTGATAATTTGCATGGGGTACTGCCAGCCGGAGAAGTTTGATTGGGTTTTGTGTCCAGGCTTTTTACCAGGGCTTGCCCATATAGACATAGTTAACAGCCTACATGGCTGACCTCAGTCTATAGCCCCTTCAGAGGTTGAGCTGGTTCACTGTGGGCCACAGCTCTATGGGCATATTTTTTGGTAATATAATATCTAGAAAATGTATGCAAATTTTATATATTGTCCCTAATAAAACTTTTTTTTTGTTAAAGACAGAGTCTCTGTTGCTGGGTAGGATGCGATGCTGTCATCATAGCTCTCAACAATGTCAAACTCTTGGGCTCAAGTGATCCTCTTGCCTCAGCCTCACAAGTAGCTGGGACTACAGGTGCCTGCTGCAATGCCTGGCTAGTTTTTTCATTTTTAATAGAGACCTAGTTTTTCTATTTTTATTTATTATTTACTTATATATTTATTTTGAGACAGAGTCTTACTATGTTGCCCTCAGTAGAGTGCCATGGTGTCAGAGCTCACAGCAACCTCAAACTCTTTGGGCTTAAGCGATTCTCTTGCCTCAGCCTCCTGAGTAGCTGGGACTATAGGCACCCACCATAATGCCCAGCTATTTTTTGGTTGTAGCTATCATTGTTGTTTAGCAGGCCTGGGCTGGGCTCGAATCTACCAGCCTCGGTATATGTAGCTGGTACCCTACTCACAGAACTACGGAGGCCAAGCCTCGTTTTTCCATTTTTAGTAGAGACAAGGTCTTATTCATGCTCAGCCTGGTGTGGAATTGCTGAGTTCACGTGATCCACCCACATGAGCTTTCCAGAGGCACCCGGTCTAAAGTGCCTTTATTTTAATATATCAATACGAAAATATTTAAAATTACTTATTGCTGAGTAAAACTAAAACTCAAGAAAGATAATGACATCTATCCTGTGGCATTTAAAACTGGCCCACTGTTGAGTGCTTCTGAGGTTGGGGTATCCAGTTTGAGCAACATGAATCCTTGTTATCAAAGCCAACAGCTTCTGCGTGATTCCATCAAAGGACAACTTCTTACATGACCCTTTAAGATCTCCTTCTTGAAACGCTTTTTCCTCTTGCCTTTCACTAGACCATACAAGTTAGTTGTCTTTCTATTTCACGAGCCCCTTCCGGTTTTCTCTTGCCTTCTCTATATCACTTTAGATGTAGAAGCACCTCAGGCTCAGTCCTGGGTCTTCCTCTTTTTTTAAATCTTTTCCATGGCTTTAAATATTACTTTATGCTAATAACGCCCACATTTTATTACTAGTCTAGAAGTCTTCCTGAACACCAAACTCCTCTATTCAATTTCCTACTGCAAAGTCTTACAATCCCCCACTCCCCAAACTTAAAACACATTTGTGGGAGATTGTCTACAAACACGGCCACCAACAATTTCTCCCACCTGTCTGGTGTTTCCTGATGATTAGACATATTGTATATACATATATATATAATCATATTTATGATTATAAATATTTGACAGGAATATTATGAAATGAAGTTGTGGTTGTCTCATTACATTCTAATAGGAGGCATGTGATTTCAATTTGTTCTGGCACTGATTTTACCTTTGATTTCTTGTTTAAGGTGGTATCTGCCAGGCTTCTCCACTATTGTTACTTTTTTTCACTATTTATAGTGTTTTGTAGGGAGTTACTTTGAGATGGTTAATATTCTGTTCATCATCAAATTGTTGTTTGTTCATTTATTTATATTGGCTTTGGATCATGGTTTATTAATTTGTCAAATGAGTTGTAATCCATTATTATTTTGATGTTGTAATTGTCCCAGATTTGGCCAATGGGAGCCTTTTCAAGCAGGTGCTGTGTCCTTGGACATGTCCTCATGATTCTTTGAGCACCTGCCTATATATATGTGTGTGTGTGTATGTATGTATATATTTTTTAATTTCAAAGTATTAACGGGTTACGCATGTTTTAGGTTACATGAATCACTTTGTACTGCTTGAGTCCCGGCTAAAGGTGTGTCTGTCATTGTACCTATTAGTTAGGTTGTTTTCCCTCGCTGCTCCCCAACCACCTGGTTGATTTCCAGAGTTTTACTTCCCTCTGTGCACTCCAATGTAGTAGGGAGAACATGTGGTGTGTTTTTCCATTCTTGAGACACTTCACTTAGGAGAATGGTCTCCAGGTCCATCTAGATTGTTGCAAAAGGTATTAATTCGTGTTCTTTTATGGCTGAGTAGCGCTCCATGGTATACACATACTACATTTTAGTAATCCACCCATGAATTGATGGGCACATGTGTTGATTCTACATTCCAGACTCATCTTACACTTTGCCTTGAATTAGCTATTAGCCATTTTCTTTTAATGAAGAATGGTATTTAAAAGCCAAGATCTGGGTGCTAGATGTGCTCATTGCTAATGAGGTGGTACTGTTTCCAGCTTCTCTGGAATGTATTTATTTATCTAGCTATATATATTGAAAACCTTGAGTTCACACTGATACTTCCAATTTTAATCCAATAGTACAGAGTTTCTTTTAGTTTTCTCTCTTTCCATATTTCTAACTCCATTCTCCAACATTGAGAATCTGGCTTCCATTATCCTAAATATGTTTACTTATTTCATCAGTCCCCAAATATGCAATGTTCTATCACAGCTGCTGGTTCTTTTCCCACTTAAGATCTGACGCACTGCATTAGACTGCCCTCCTTACCCTGTTCCTGTTTTAGGCTCAGATGCTGAGCCGCCCATACAAACACCTCTCTCCATCTGTGACATGTCATCTCAACCCAGGCTCCTGAGCTCTGCACAGTCACCACTCCCCCACTCATATATCCCAGCCACGCAGGCACACATTCCTAACTCATTCTTACCTCGGGGCTTTTAAATCCAGCGTTGCTTCTGTCTGGAACCTTAACCCTGCTTAGAACTTCCCATGGCTGGCTCCTTCCCTCTTACAATTTAAGTCTCAACTCAAAGCCTCACCTTCTCTGAGAGGCTTTCCTTAATAATATAATGCTACCTGTAAGTTTCCCACTTTATCTTTGAACTCATGCTTTTTGTGTCCATTGTAACTAGAATCATCTTGTTTTTTCAATTTTTTTTTTTTTTTAGTATTTATTTATTTATTTGGCTGGGGCTGGGTTTGAACCTGCCACCTCTGGCATATGGGGCCAGCGCCCTACCCTTTTGAGCCACAGGTGCCGCCCCCATCTTGGTTTTTCTTGTTTACTTTCTAACTCTATCCCCAATGAGAATGAGTTCTATAAGAATACAGGCTTTGTCTGCTTTATCATTGCTATCTCCAGCCCTTAGAATAAAATGTACTCAGTAACTCTTGCATGAGTGAGTGAAAAAATGCATAATTCCACTCTTACCTTTCTGCTTCCAACAAATGCTAATGAGTGCATGGAGTTGTGGAAAGAACATTGATCTTCTTAACGGTCAAACAGCCCTGGATTTTAATCCTCAAGAGCTGTGACTTTAAACCATTGACTTCATCTTGAGTTTGTTTCTTATCTGTAAAAACACAAGAGGAGTTAAAACCTACCTGACAGGGTTGTTATTAGGACTAAAAACAAGATTGCACATGTGGAAACATCAAACACAGTATTTGGCATCCAGTAAGGCTGTGGTTCTCAAACTTTGTTGCACAATGGAATTGCCTGGAAATCTGATGGCTGGCTCCCACACCCAAACATTCTAATTTAATTGGTATGAGGTGCAGTCTGGTGACTGGCATCTCTAAAAGCTCCCCAGAGGATTCTAAAATGGGCAGCAAAGTTTGGGAACCACTGCAATAAAGCTGATGGCAAACTCAAGGTGAAGATTTTTAGAACAGTACTCATCTGTGTATCATCTGTGCTTAAGTTCAGCTCTCCTTCCAGAAAGCCTTCATAAGATTGCGTTTAACAACTGCAGATTAATTTACTTCTTGGTTTGCTTCTCCTTCAAAGTCAACAGTGTAGATATGAGGCTGGAGTCTGAAACCTCTCCTGTTTCTCACATTACTGAGGTAAAAAGCTGGTAGTGGTTAAGACTTGACTTCTACCTCCTATCATACATAAAAATTACTTTGAAATGGATCATAGAGCTAAATGAGAAACTAAAGCAACTAGACTAACTCTTCAGAAGTGAATGTAGGACAAAGCCTGGAGGAACCTAATGCATATTGCTAAGAGAAAGAAGCCAATCTGAAAAACACCAGATACTGTATTATTCCAACTATATAACGTTTTGGAAAAGATGAAACTAGAGACAATAAAAATAGCAGTGGTTGCCAGGGTTGAGAGAGGTGAAGAGGCGGAGCACAGGGTATTTTTAAGGTAGTGAAATCGTTCTGTATGATATCATCATGGTGGACAGATGACATCATGCCTATGTAAAAACCCACAGAATGTACAATACAAAGAGTGAACCCTAACGTAAACTATGGGTTTTGGCTAGTAATGTATCAAGACCGACTCATCCATTATAACTAATGTACCACACCAATGGAAGATGTTAATATGTGAGACTGGGCAAGAAGGGGCTATTTGGAAATAACTTTTATTTTCTACTCAGTTTTTCCATAAACCTATAATTGTCCCCCAAAATAAATTAGCTAAAAAAAAAAAAAGCTCAAAGTTAACTTTTTATTGTGATAATATGTTATCTCTGGAAAGTAACTTTTTCATTGCTCCATTAAATCAACTTACTAACAAACTGCATCCTATCACATCCGTCTGTCATCCTAATTTACATCATTTTGGTAATGGCTGGTTTTCAGTGTTTAAAGAGGAAAAATGACTTTGTAGGACTCAAAAACCCAAAAACCTAAACATATACAAACCTAATTTAGAGTTAGTTTAGTCTAGTTGCTTTAGTTTCTCATTTAGCTCTGTGATCCATTTCAAAGTAATTTTTATGTATGATAGGAGGTAGAAGTCTTAACATATACACCTAATTTTATTGTGTATACAGCTAGCTGTCTGTATAGGTACTACAGAATCTCTAAATTATAGTATCAGTTTCAATGTTTTAAATTTGTTCATTAAAGTTTTTATTTTTCCAAATATGCGGTTGGTTGGAACCCGTTCATGCATCTCCACCCTTGGTATTTCTGGTATAAATTACTTGAGCTCTGGGCTTTGAAATCAGTTTGCTAAGTCCATTACTAAGCAGCTCCTGAAGGGCTGCCCTGGCCAGGGAACCTTGAATCTTCTCTCTCAGAGACCACGGCTGGGGTTATAAGCTTATAGTTCCAGCTCCTTACAGAGTTTGTCATATGTAGCTTTGCCAAACAAGATTAGTTTGTTGAGCTTGTCCCAAACTTTGCTTTGGACCACTTCTTTTTGGTCTTGCCCTCAGCTTCGTTCACTGGGTCTTTTTCTTTCTTGGCAGACTCTCTGGCATCCTTCTCTTCTTGTCGTCCTTGGGTGACTTTGACTTTGCGAAGTTCAGAGAAGAGCTGTCGCTATGGCACCCTAGCTAAGATGTTGGACAAAAAAAAAAGTATCTGGTTTAATTTTAAAAAGGGTATCCAGGCTCGGCACCTGTGGCTCAAGCGGCTAAGGCGCCAGCCACATACACCTAAGGTGGCAGGTTCGAATCCCCAGCCCGGACCCGCCAAACAACAATGATGGCTGCAACCAAAAAATGGCCAGGCGTTGTGGCGGGCGCCTGTAGTCCCAGCTACTTGGGAGGCTGAGGCAGGAGACTCGCTTGAGCCCAGGAGTTGGAGGTTGCTGTGAGCGTGATGCCATGGCACTCTACCCAGGGGGACAGCTTGAGACTCCCTCTCAAAAAAAAAAAAAAAAAAAAAAAGGGTATCCACATACCGAATTTTAATTAATGAAATAAAAACTCAGCTTCTGCTTTTTAAAGCAATTTCTTTAAATGTAATGCCACTCTTTTTTTATGCTGCATGTTGGAGGTGAGACATGTTTTTCTGTAATCCTTAGAAAATGCTTATAACTATAAAAATCCAATCTTTAAAAACAATTTTTGCCAATATGACAATATTGTCATGATTGATAAATTCATCAGTCCACTCAGAAATGCAACTCGATCTCACAACTTTAAACAGTATTTTCTATGAATATTGGTACATATAAAAACAGTTCTAGATATTTCCTACTGAAAATTTTGAAACTCCAAAACATAGCACTACATTGTAAAAACTCCAAGTTATAGCAGTACATTTAAAAAACTTTTATTGTTTCATCTCTGCTTTTTTTAGTCATCAATAACAGACAGATGTCAGGAAACAGGTAAAATTTCAACATAAATGAAAACAATGAGAACGTAAGATTTAAAAACGCATGTAATTAGTCAAATTTTATTATACAAAAAGAAAATAAATCTAGCTCACTTATTCCATTGCCACACCCCCCAACCAATTTGTTGTAGTTATTTTTAACCCTATAGTGGTTCTCATTAAAAAAGAATGAAAAGTACAAAGAAAATATTTTTTTAATCCCATCAAATTAAACATATTTCAGGTTTATGCCAAGATATTTTTCTTTAAGAATAAAAAAGACAGTAAAGAATGTGAAAATTCTAAAAAAGTAGTATTAGTAAGTAAGGTTAATGAGAAACGAATTTTGGCAAACAGAGGTTTTATTTGGCTCAAACTCCAGCATCAGAAGGAGACCACATTAAGTGCCTATGAGACCAATGAAGTGGGAAAGAGATTTTGTTCTGTCTCCAAGCAGCTCTCCCACCAGTGATTTACTACTACATAGGAACAGCTTTACGCCGAAAATGTGCCGCTGAATGGCTGGAAGGGGCTATTAGACTCTGAAAATTTCTAGCACTAATATGCCGAGAAGAAACATTATTCCCAGTTTAAAGAGTCTATTCTCAAATACAGCAATAGTCCCGATTAAAATTAGTCTTAAAATATCAAGTATACAAAAACACTGAAACACCTACAACAAAAAATAGAAAATACTGAAAAGCAGATGATCAATAAGATTTGCACTTATCTTTTTTTTTTTTTTTTTTTTGAGACGGAGACTCAAGCTGTCCCCCTGGGTAGAGAGTGCCATGGCATCACTCA